ACATAGGAAATGAAACTATTTTTCTGGATTTACATCGCGAATATTTGTCCCATGTTCACGGTTGACTGAGGTGGCACAATTAGGTAACTGGTTGAAGACTGTACCACCTCAGTCAACCGTGACCATGGGACCTGCAAAGGGCCCGAAACGTCGGTTTGTTAAATCTGAAAAATAGTTTCATTTCTTTATTATTATTATTAAATAAAGACTTCACAAACGTATAACTTCCCTAGTTTGTTATAATTACTAAAACAAAGATCGAACACTAAGAAAAATTCCTTTGATTGGGCTGGATTCGAACCAGCGCCTTCAGCATACCTTGCCAGACGCTCTGCCAACAGAGTTACAGAATGATGGACTGTAAAAAGCAGACCTTAAGAAATTTTCTGTGTGCTTGTTGCAGATCTTTGTTTTTATTTTTAACGTATTTTTGCCGCAGCGCCATCTGTGAGAAATCTATGAAAGTTTTTTTACTTCACTCAGCCAGGTACCTTTACAACTACCAGCGGCAGACTAGTGATGTGAATAACAATGATCTGCACATCTGACGGTAGTACGCTTTCGAATTTTCGGGAAATATTCGATTTATTTGCCATACGTATTTGGAATATCCAAGCACCCACACGCGCTCACCATATTCATACGCACATTTATTTTACATCCATACACACGCGCTCTCGAACGCTAATACGCACACACGTACGCACGCGCATGCACGCACACGCACACTCATAAAAATTTTGGTTTTGTTTTTGATTTTTTTTTATTTAGCCTGTTTTTTGTTTATCCTTATTATATTTTTATTTTCGACCATATTCACTGGAGCCTTGATAACCTAAATCACAGGGTGTCCTAGTTTGAGCTCCAGCCATCATAAATGTTACAAATCTTGAGGTACATTGTGCTTGTCGTTGTCATAAGCAACGCATTTACATTTTGGTAACTTTTGTTATGATGGTACCTAAACTTTTCTTTTCTTTAAAAATGTCAAATGTTTTACTTAACAATAAAACTGAAATAAAATGAGATATAAAAACCCCTTACATGGGGTTGTAGGTTATCGTTTTGCTGATTATCATCAGTGTTTTATAGTAAGCGGCGTATGCGCCATTTGGAACAAAAATTTCAGGAGAGCCTGTTTTTAAATATGTATTGAATTGATATTCAATTATTTTTGTGAAATTACTCCACTAGTTTGTTATAATTATTAACACAAAGATCGAACACTTAGAAAAAAATTCCTTCGATCAGGCCGGATTCGAACCGACGTCTCAAGCCGTGGCAGACGCTATGCCAACTAAGCCACGGAACGAACCAGCGGTATTCACGAATACGGTATTTCTTGTAAAATTTCAAAGTAAGTTTGTGTTTTTTTTCTATCGTGAAAATTTTTAGAGAATCTTATTTTACACACCAAATAGCAGAAATCAGAAATCAGAAATCAGAAACATTTATTGTATGAATTGGTAAAATACAGGTGTTACTTACAAGTGATTAGATCTACAATTCTTACCCAAATCAGGCGTACAATGTCTTAAAATTACAATTCAATTAAAATTTATTACAACTTAAATGTCAAAAATTTAAATTATAATTAAGTTAGTTATACAATTGTCAAATATTTGATGTCTTTATATAAAATTCGTTAAGATTGTAAAAAACTTTGTCAATTAACCATTTTTTTAAACAAGCTTTAAATTTATCACCATTTAAACATTTCATTTCCATTGGAAGTCTGTTATAAATTCTAATCGCTGTTACATAGGTGCTGCGGTCAAAGATCGTGGTGTTTATTTTAGGGAGGACAAGACGGTCCTTGTTTCTGACGTTAACGGCAATCTTGGCAAGTTAGCAATCAGTGTATATCGTCCATGTTACTATGTAATTTTTCCAAGGTGTTAGATTCAACACTTTCGCTATTAAACGGAATCAACTAAAGCTATTTAAGGATGTGTAACTCAATTTCGCATAGATATCGATTACATTGTTTATGATAAGGAGAATTGTTCTGTTGTTACAATTTTATGGAGGAAATAAATAAATTTTTTATCATTTATTCATCAATGTGTAGATCAATGACATAAGGAATGTAGCTGATTGGAGTGTTCCGGAATTTGTAGTCGATTGAAGAAACTGTGACCGTGGAACTAAATTTAAAAGCTCCAGCGCACTCTCCGAAATGTAACCGCTAGAAAACCGACACGTAGGCCGCTTGTCTGCGATAGTCGAGATTTTGAAGCTTCGGTTTCTATGGAATTCTATAAGAATAGAAGCTTCATAAATATGGACATACCATAATATATTGACGACAATCATTAAAAAATAGGAATTACATAAAACAATTTTTCTTATAGTACCAAGTAACGGGACGAACAAGTCGTACGCCTGGTGGTAAGCGACACGCCTGTCTATAACAGTTGTAGTGCCACTCTGATGTGAGGGGCACTGTCACTGTGCCCTTGGACAAAAAGTTGACGAGTCGGAAATAGGAAAGATGGCAGTACTTCCTTGAAATAACTCTTTCACAAGGAGTTATACTGAATATATTAATATATTTTGATCTGTGTGTTGTGGAAAGCGCGCACGCAGTTAATTGAAACCAAAATTGAATTTAAAACATCTGTAAATATTTTAAAACGATTGTGAAAATCTAAAACATGCTTTCTGACTTTTATTTTTAAATGGCGCTTATGTTCGTTCTACAAAACAGCGACAATATGTAAAAATGTATAACTCTTATAATTAAGAATAAGTTATCGATTATTTTCGTTAGTTAAATCTTTAAAACTCTCTCGTGAAAAGGTGTCATTTTGCAGATGTGACCTTATTACATCAAGGGTGAGATATGACATTATATCAACAGCAAAGGCATTCATAAATCATCGGTAACGGTATGACGCAGGATGTAGACGTTATTTCTCTTCGAATACTAAGTTTGCCAACTATTTTTATGATGGTTTTTAATGAAAACTATATCATAAAGTACAATTTTTATGTCACTTTTTCGGAGGCAAGGTGATTTGTTGTTGTAGAACTGTCGGTAAAAATGGATTTGTTTTTATTTATTAACTTTTGACACGTTAGTCGTAGGAACGGTATTAACGAACGAGGCATAACACTGTAGGTTTGATGTAAAGCGACTTAAATGTTTGAAATAAATAAGTTCGGATAATTTAAGCAGACACGCGTAGGTTTTCAACTCTAAACAAAAAAATGGTTAATAAATGAGTGTGACTTTAATTTTAGAAAGTTACCGTTTATTTCAGGGTTTGATTTTATTATGATATTTATTTTCTATGATAATTATCATGCTGATAACTATTCGATGTACATTTGATAATTTTCCATGATGAGTCATAGTTTTGTCTGTTTCATTTTTGACTACAGATTACAATCAGTGAGAAAACTAAATTTGACGGACACGAAGTAAAATGTTTTTTTTCCCTGGCTTGTGAGACTAATTTATTGTTTTTATTATTTATATTATATATAATTTATTCATAAACATCATGGAGGGAAGGTATACAGAAAGTTTGTTCGAGGGAGTATCGAAGAAAGAAAAATCTTTGAGAAAACGATTTGTTTTGTAACTTTTTATGAGACTGACATTTGATAAGTTTGGATACGTATCTGATACAAAACACATGACATTGCTAGCGGCGGCATTTTGTTGTTCCGAAATGCTTCACCACTTCTCAATTTTTTGCGGTAATTAGTGGTTAACGGTGATGGTGACACAATAACTACATACTTACTGTAATAAAATTAGTCATAAGTTTTACTTGTGTCTACTGTTTGTTGATCCAAATGAATTAAGTAATAATAATAATAATAAGTTTATAGTCAGCATGATAATTATCAATGATAACTATCATATCATGCCCTGGTTCATTTATTACTTGAGATAGTAAGATTTATTTATTATACAGATGTATAATAATTTACTGAACTAGGTATCTACGTAGTTCAGTAAAATTTAAACCAATTTGTGTTGCTGTTTTAGAAAATATTATATGTATTTACAGGTTGCTATTTGAGATTATCAGCGCAAAAGTGGTTATCAATGATTAAATTTCTAAATATTTTTTTACATGAAAAGAACGTCCAAATATAAAATAATTTACTTTACGATTTTTAGTTTTTTTTATAATGTTGACGTACAAGTCGTGCGCCTGATAGTGAGCCACACGTCTGTCCAAAACAGTTGCAGTGCCACTCAGAGCTTAAAATCGCAAAGATCTGAGGTGCACTGCCACTGCGTGACGGACGCACTGGTGACGATGGGAGGTGGACTGGAGCCCCACGAGGACGTCTCCACTCTCTCCTCGCGCTGTAAAGTCTAGTAGCCGCTAGATGGCGCTTTTATTTGTGTGCTGCGAAATGTAAGAACGCAAGATGAGATTTCTTTTTATTTAAGAAACTTTTTTTATACTGTCAAGTGACGGGAAGAACATGTCGTGCACCTGATGGTAAGCTACACGCCTGTCCATAACAGTTGCAAAACCGGAACGCAGTAATGCTGACATTGCTGCTTGGCTTGTGAGCGTTAAAAAAATACGTATGCTCTACTGCTGCTAACTAAGTAATATTGTGGAAAAAAATTAAATGTGGGTTACACCACTTTTGAGTCGATAGTGTCATTTTACAATTAAATTAAAGTTTCAGTTAAAAAAACTTAATCTGTTGTATCGTTTTAAACACCCGTAGAAGTGTTACAGGAAAACGGCACTATTTTTAATTGAACGGTAATTCTAAAATTAAAACATATTTTTATACACAAACATATAATTACAAAATATGACACAGTAGAACCACAAGTAAGCAATGGCCTAGTCAACACACTTAACACGATTATTTTTCAAGAAAACCGCTTATATAATCTAAATGGCGTTCATGAGCGATCTCTGGAATTCAATCGTCGGCACAAAAGACGGAAAAGGAGAAGAAGTATCAACATTATACATCGACAAGTGTAAAAAATACTTCTCAGTAAGCGAGGTTGATAAGGAGGATACGCCAATAGTGTTTGGAGAAGCCCATGAAATAGCGTTTAATAAATCTGGCCTTGGACTCGACTGGATCCCGTTGAATTTTATCACCATTTACCACATTGATACAAGAAAAGGTTTGTCTATAATAAAAGTATATTTTTTATCGAGGGACTAAAACGAGCCAAACACATCGCATTTTTGGTATGAAAGTGACCCAATACAAAATTCTAACTTTTTGGGAACACGCATATAAGATTTGAAGTTGTGACATTTTTACGTTATTTAATTATTTACTCTAAGGCAATGTTCTTGTTGAAGAAATGAATTTCGAAACGAAATTAGAAACGAAAACACATTTCTTCGTAATTTTTTTGCCAACAGTAGTGACGTGATGTATTTGCAGATACATGTTTAACAATAAATGTGGTGTTTGCCGAGGCGGGAGTGGAATTTAAAATTTAACGAAAAAGTCGATTCCCGGTAGGACCAATTTGAAAATATGGGTAGTACTAAAAAGCGAATTCCATTACTCTGGCACTCATAGTATAGGGAAGAACCTTGCAGATCTAAAGAAGTAATGATGGCACTCAGTCGAACCTTTACGTTATTTGCATTATTCCTTTCTAAATTTTAACTATCTCATCTTTTCAGCGGAAGTGAAGATGCCGAGTGGTCATACCGACGAGCCTATCATCGAGGACAACAGAGATGGGACAGTCAGCATCAAGTACGAGCCAAGAGAGGAGGGAACTCATGAGCTCTACGTCAAGTACAATGGAGAACATGTACAAGGTAAGGCTTTTCTTTTTTAAGAGATACAGGACAGTCTGTGATCTGTGTCCATGAGATCCATTCAGCGTGCAGCACAAAAAAGTTATTTTTTGTTTATTCAAATGTAAGTGTGCATTTGATCTCCGTCTCACCTGATGGAAAGTGACGATGAGGTCGACGATGGAGCATGCACACCTAAATAATGCGTATTCACTCTAGCCTTCAAAAGGTCCAAGTTATAACGTTCAGGTAACAAGTCTGCAGGCACGGAATTCGACTCCATAGCCATTCGCCATATAAATGTGGAAGCATAAATCCACAACATAGGGGTGAAATCCAAACCTACGCCCGGTCCCCTGACTATGGGAAGGGGAAGGCGGAATTAAATCGTGTAATTTCATAGCACACTCTCCGTAATATATTCTGTAAAATACCGATAAGCAAGCAACTTTACGGCGGTGTTCAAGGCTCTGCAGCTTCGCCTCTACTAATTACGAGTCACCTATAAGCCTCTTGACACGCATGTCAGTGAATCCAAGGTTGCCAGTTGGTATGTAGCAGAGCCATCCCAAAGGTGACAGTAGTACTCCGTACACGACCGGACTTGTGCTTGATGCAGCTGAAGCAACTGTTCTGGTGTGAAGTAACGCCTCACTGTGGAAAGGATGCCAAGCTAAAAATAAAAAAGCAAGTTATACCATCACTTGTGTCTTAAACTACCTGGAAATCGAACACGTATTTACATCAATCAGAGAAAGCAGAGCTTCTTCTTCTTCTCATCGTATCGATGGCATTCACTATAATGCTTGCCATAACGGTGAAAGGTTTTGCCAATCGACGTAAGAAAAGAATGGTAGGGCATGAGGGGACACCCCCATTCGTGCACTCTAGGGCTTATAAGATTATAATAAAGTATATTCTGTAACACACCCTTGCCAAATATTTTGGTTGACTGCACAGCTTTGCAGTTGCTGAAGCTAATACCCGTGAGTAATGATAACAGCACAGTGCGATAATAGAGCGTTGCGGCGTGTAAGGACATGTAGTGACAAAGATAGAGAAAACCTGATGACCTCAGTGACCAAAGGGTATGCTCTGTGGGCGCTAAATGAGGAGGCCCCGGGTTCGATTCCTGGTAGGATCAATTTGGGAAATTACTTTTTCTAAATTGGTTCTGTTGTGGACGAGAATACTTTCTTGGTAGTCCTGGAGTGAATTTCGTGGTTCTGGTACTGATAGTGCAGGAAATTCTTTTGTTTGAGATCAGATGACTGGTGTGACTGGCTGGGTGGCATAAAGATATAATAGAAAAAGATGTTAAGAAGATTTGGACACGTATAAAGTTGATAAAAGAAAGGCGATTGACGGAACAGATTTATAAGGCGCTGTGAGCGGGTAAGTTGGTAAAGGCCTACCAAGGCGAACTTATCAAGAAGAAGTTGAGGTCATTCTAAAGAAAGGTCAGGTCAAGAATACCTTTAACTGACGAACGTGTATGAAAGCATTGTTGCCTATTGATGAGGCAAAATATGTTTGGCAGGATCGTAGCAATTGGATGGCTGTGATTTGCACTTTCTATATTACGAATTACACCAACTATGTAGGAAATTAATATCACCTGTCCTATCTTTCCAGGATCTCCCTACAAGTTCCACGTAGACTCTATCCCTTCAGGGTATGTGACAGCGTATGGCCCAGGACTGGTGAGCGGCGTCAGCGGCGAGCCATGCCATTTCACCATCAGTACGAAGGGAGCTGGCGCTGGTGGACTTACCATGTCTGTCGAAGGACCCAGCAAGGCCGAGGTACAGCTTCAAGTCTTCAATTAAAGTTTCAAGCGTCTGAAGTTCCCAGATCAGCCTGTTTGCACAGACTTCATCAAGTTCTCAAAAGGCCTTGCCTTGGGTGAACTGCCCCGGGTACACGTACAGCACCATTCATATTTTCCAGATAGGTACCGAAGCTGTAAGTACGCTAACTTCCCGTTGTGGTTGCGCAACGGTTGCTACCGCTAAGCCGTTGATTCTAAAGCCCACTAACAAATCTCCACTTTGGTGGCGGAGCTGTAGGTCACCTCCCGACGCCGAAGCGTCTCCCTTAGTTCCCAGAAATCTACGCGACTTGAGAGACCGGAGGATATATAGATTATCCTCTACTAGGTCTCCGGGCTAGTGCCGGAGATGTCCGTCGCAGTGTCCTGCGATAATGTCGACTTGTTTCTCCCGTCACTTGGTATAAAAAAAAACACTGGCGACTGCCATGATGGTCTGATTGAAGTGACTAAAGATCTTTATGATCTTTCAGGCCTCTCCGTGGTCACCACTTTACTATTTGCCGTATTCCATCGTGAACTAAAAGGTTTGGTGGCACCTTCCTCTGTCGCATAGTCGACAATTGGAAATCCCTTCCAGCGCACGTATTCCCTCTGCCCTACGATATGGGATCCTTCAAAGGAGGCGTAAAGAGGCATCTTGTTTATAGGCATGCAGGTTAGAGGTGGCTAGGGCAGTAATTGTATCAACTTTCCATTTTACATCAGGTGGAGTGGAGTCATCATACTAAAAAAAAATATATTTCAGATCACTTGCCATGACAACAAAGATGGCACCGTCTCCGTGTCATTCCTGCCAACTGCTCCTGGCGAGTACAAGGTCTCAGTCAGGTTTGGTGAGAAACACATTAAAGGATCTCCCTTCTTAGCGAAGGTAAGTCAACATATAAAGCACTGACTTGGTTTTGTTATGGGGCGGACGAGCTATTGTTCAACATGGCATTTTATAAACAATTCCTTGGAATGTTTCAGATAACCGGTGAAGGTCGTAAGAGGAACCAAATCTCTGTAGGCAGTTGCAGCGAAGTCACCTTACCCGGCAAGATCAGTGACAATGATATTCGCAGTCTTAACGCTTCCATTCAGGTAAGAAAGGAAATTGTCTCTTATGAGTGCTTCAGTAGGTTTTATATTAATTCAATACAAGTTCGTGGCTTGGGAATGATACTATTTTTCGGAAGCAATCCTGAATATTCCAGTAGAAGTAGTGTTACCCCAAGTACTGCCATCTTACCTGTTACCGCAGCCAAGCAGTAATGTGTGCATTACCGCGTTTCGGTTTCGAAGGTGCTCGTGAAATAACAGGCACATGTGTCACAACTTATGCCTCGGGGTAACGGGCGCAGTGGCAGTGCCCCTCAGACCTTTGCGATTAAAGCTCTGAATGGCACTGCAACTGTCATGGACAGGCTTATCACCAGGCGCATGACTTGTTGTTCCATAGCTTGGTATCATTAAAAAAAAGTTACCACACCTTTTGTTTGTTCCTTCCAGGCACCTTCTGGACTCGAAGAACCCTGTTTCTTGAAGCGGCTTCCATCTGGCAATATTGGAATCAGCTTCACTCCTCGTGAGGCTGGTCAGCACATCGTTTCTGTTAAGAAAATGGGTGTTCATATCCAAAATTCTCCTTTCAACATCACTGTCACGGAGACAGAAGTTGGTGATTCTAAAAAAGTCAAGGTAAGTGGAAAGAGGGGAAAGGGATTGGGCTGCTGGTGAAATTCACATGGGACTAACGTATGTCACAGGGTGACAGACGCCGTGGCAGTGGCCCTCAGAACTTCGTAATTTAATGCTCTGAGTGTCACTGCAACTGTTATGGACATTCCTGTCGCTTAGACAACTAGTTCGTTCCGTCTCTTGGTACCATAAAAATAGAGCTTATTAGTCTTTAAATCTTTATTATGGTTATTAAAATTAGAGAAGTGGAATGAGATTTGCAATACAACAGTTGAAATATTTCATCACAGGTTTCCGGCACGGCCCTGAAGGAGGGCAAGACTCATACCGAGAATACTTTCACAGTTGACACCAAGAATGCTGGTTACGGTGGTCTTTCACTCTCCATTGAAGGTATGTGATTTGCCTCCACGAAGAATAATTATGGTATTTACCCATGTTTCTATCAGTTTTTTCAACAATTTTTTTATTTCAATGTTTTATAACAATATGTACGGTACAAAAAATTTGAATTTATTGATATTTTCGTTGAAAGAAATTTATCGTTATTTAAATTCGTAAACCTTATTTTATAATGTAGGTATTATTAAGGTAAACTTTTGAGTAGTACAAAAAACTGAGTTACCTTCTAGAAATAATTTTATATGATTATACATAAGCCTTATCGACGATATTGCACAGATACAGTTAGATTCCGGAAATTTCCTTCTGTTGAAAATCCGTCTGTTGCTGTTCAATTTTGCACATAATACAGGCACTTCGCAATCTCTTCTCTTAACGTGTCGATCGATCAGGGCAGGTAGAATTGAATGCTATCTTACACTACAAATAAATTAACGTTTGCTGAGCTAATAATTTCGATTATTTTGGACTACCATTTATAAACGTAATGTGTACAAGATAATGAATAACAGTGTACAATTATATTATACATGTAAATTGTGTTATGTTTACAATAAATAAAATAAATAATTGCTAATTAGACTTATTAACTAAAAATAACGGATAATTCGGCATATTATATTATTATATATACATATTTAAGTCGAATTTTTGCTCGACATGTTTCGAACCAATTCGTGGTCTTGGAAAACAGTGTTAGGTACTACGTCAGAGGTTAGTGTAGATGAGACTTTAGAAAGTGACGTTGTTAGTGTAGTGTGCAATCCTGCATATGACTTTAATAAAAATGAAGCGAACGAGGGTAGAGTCTCGCCGACGCCGCCTGCGCCCGCTGCCGTACTGAGTGATCGGGCTGCCAGGGGTTTGGCGCGCAGTTTCCGTTGAGTCACCGCCGCGGAATCTCATGATTAAGGACCGCGAATTGGTTCGAAACATGTCGAGCAAAAATTCGACTTATATACATGAGTTATCCGTTATTTTTAGCTAATTACACTTATAATAAAAATGTAAAATAAACGGCCAGTCTTAAAAAAATACATTATTTACGGTTTTGACTATATTCCTCCACATGTCGTCGGCGTCGGTGTTTTGTAGGAAGGGCGAAGGCGCCATTTCGAAAAATTATTCAGGGAAGCATGTTTTAGTTTTTCACGGCTGTTTTGTTAATATTGACGTTCAGTTTCAAATTCACTTTTAGAACTTAAACATAATTAAAACTAAAGTTGAATTTTAAAACAGGATGTAAATGTTTTAAAACAGTCGTTAAAACGTAAAACATGCTGCAAACAAAACACTATACATATACCATTTTATCATACTTCACGAAGTTACAAATTCATCAAGGAAAATGTACATGCTTCTATAATAATATTCCAGTTGATATTCAAAATTTGTCATTTATGAGGTTTAAAACCATAGTGAAACAAAAAGTTTACACTAAAGAGTTATATATAACACAGCTTTTGCATATTTGGATGACAAAGTACATGGTTTGGACATGTTTAGATCTTGCAGACTGTCTCGATCTACGATATTTAAAATAAACTTAGTAACAAATGTGTACAAATGTTTATTTACAAAGAAAACCCCCTAGAGTTTCTTATTTATTCTTCCCGGAGGATTTTGCTTTACGAATTAGTTTTCTTCTTAGTCTGCCACTCCTCTATGAAGGTTGGTGACCATCATAGCTATTCTCGTTTTTGAAGCTGCCGCACGAAGGAGGGACTGTGTGCTGAGGTGGAACCAGTCCTCAGATTCTTCAACCACGAGGTTTTCTTTCTGCCACAACTTTCCCCTGCATTATTAGTTGAAGAATCCGGTCTCTATTGCCCCTCATTACGTGGCTAAAATATTGCAACTTGCTTTCCTTTACAGTTCTGAGTATTTCCAACTTTTTTCCCATTCGATGAAGAACCTCAACATTGGTGACCTTTTGTACCCACGATTTGCTATACGTGTTAGTAGTACTTGTGTGTTTACCTATGAAATAAACATTTTCAGTTTTGATCATTGACTTACAAATAAATGGACGACAGGTCTAATACAAAAACCACGAAAAAAATGTCCCAAGTCAACGTATTTAAACGTAGTGACATGTAAAGGAATATGAAAAAGCTAAAACGTTGAATTAAATTGTAATGTCATCGCAGTACTGTCTAATTTTGCTTGCTTCGCTGTCAGTCGAACAAACGAAGACTAAAGCGTGAATGACGCTCTGTATACGATTTTAACGCCCTATAAGTTCGGACACTTTTTAGCGCGGACCCGACGTCCATATAATTGTAAGTCAATGGTTTTGATTTTCAGTTTTTGACTTTCAGTTTCGATGAACAAATCAAATTCAGAATGATCTGAATTTGAAATGTTCGCTCTGACGAACATTCAATATTTTTTTGACGTTTGTTCTTCAGCAAATCTAAACTTAGTTCAAACGTCATCTTTCAGGTCCCAGTAAGGCCGAGATCCAGTGCGCAGACGGCAAAGATGGCGTTCTGGCAATCAGCTACAAGCCAACCGAACCTGGATATTACATCATCAACTTGAAGTTCGCTGATCATCATGTTGAAGGGTCTCCCTTCACCGTAAAGGTGCGTTACTTGGATGTTAAACTTATACACTTTGGACCAGTGCTAGAAAGGTTTGTGACTTCTTAGCAACATTACAATTGAAAAAGTAAGGTATGAAAAAACGAGGACCGTGATAGCCTCTCAAGTAGAGGCCATGGGTTCGAATCCGGGTTCGCACCTCTGAGTTTTCGAAATTTATTTTAAAATTTACCATGAGCTTTTCTGTCTGCACATCGAAGAAGGTTCGCAGTCCTCGGAAAACTGCATTGAGTCAGCGTGGTGGACAATGGCCTCTCTCGCCTGAGAGGAGACCCCGTGCCCAGCAGTAGGATGTATAAATGAGTTCATGATGATGAAAAAACACTGGTTTTAACTCATATATGGGACATTGGTCTCTAGACAATTTGGCTACTTTCATCTGAACATACTTACCGATATTTATTTACATTAAATGGTTTCAATTTTCAGAAAACTTCGTTTTTCGATCTTCTTCTTTCTGAGTATATATTCAAAACATTTTCAGAACCTTGTATTTTAGTCATTGGGTAATCAGAATTTAAAATAGGAAAGAGAAGTGTCACAACGCCTGCTTGTCGATCGAGAAGTTGATCAAGTAACTCCGTTTGACGGAGTCAAATGAGGAAACAAAATAAACTCCTTATAATAAACTTCCTGAAACTGAAACTTTTCAGTTTCACAAAAAAATATTCGTTTAGATGGGTTGAAGAAGTTGGGATATCGCTGGACAGGGTGTAAGAGTTAAAAGATTACGTTGAAAAATAAAAAATAATCTCAAATTCACGGATTAATCAAACCGCTTTCGTATTTTGACCTGAGTGGCGATGAAATTGTACTTAAGAATGTAATTATATTACTTAGGTGACTGGTGAGGGCAGCAACAGACAGAGAGAGAAGATCCAGAGACAGCGTGACCAAGTACCTCTTACCGAAGTTGGCACAAACTGCAAGCTCACGTTCAAGATGCCTGGTAAGATTTATATAACACTTGAAACGTCAGTGACGCAGCGCACAAGCTGTAACCATTTTGACTATACTGTGATATATCTAGAATGGGAATTGCGTAAGGTCTGATTTTTGATTAGACATAAGGAATTGACAGCTGTAATATCATTCATTCAAAATTATGTTGCTATGTTTGTTTATATTCTGATTCCTACTATAACCATCTAATTTGTGTGTTAAATCAACTATTGTACCGATTTGAAATGTCAAAAGTTTCTGATCGACCAGTCGTGAATCGCAATTATGCGCATAGACTCGGAAGTCAGTTTCCGATCGGGAGAGGCAATCAAAATCAAGCAGCAGATGTCGCTTGTACACTAATCCAAGAAAATACGAACACCGCTTGTGTGCCTAGCATTGACTTACAATTATATGGACGTCGGGTCCGCGCTAAAAAGTGTCCGAACTTATATGGCGTTAAAATCGTATACAGAGCGTCATTCACGCTTTAGTCTTCGTTTGTTCGACTGACAGCGAAGCAAGCAAAATTAGACAGGACTGCGATGACATTACAATTTGAATTCAACGTTTTAGCTTTTTCATATTCCTTTACATGTCACTACGTTTAAATAGGTTGACTTGGGACATTTTTTTCGTGGTTTGTGTATTAGATCCGTCGTCCATTTATTTGTAAGTCATTGGTGCCTAGAGATAAAATGATTCCTGTGACATTTCGGACCGCCATTTCTTGGATTCGGAACTGTAGTGCGCAATCGTTATAAGGCATTAGCTCCCGAGTTTGCTAATTTTAAATCGTCTCAGTTATGTGTCGATAGAGTGGCTCAATTTTGTACGATCGGTGTTCTGTTAAAAGTTTAGAATAATGGTTTGTCATCGAGTTACTATTCCACTGCCATTGCAATTTTTTGGTATTCTGCTCTTCGACGGCGAGTCTATGGCACTGCGATCGCGTAGTGTATTAAATTATTTGACATAAAAGAAATTTTAGTAGCAGTAGAACTCCTTGTGAAAGAGTTCATCAAGGGAAGTACTGCCACCTTACCTATGTCTGCTGCCCCCCAGCAGTAATGTGAACATTACTGTGTTCCGGTTTTGAAGGGTAAGAGAGCTGATGAAATTACAGGCACATGGGACTTGTCAACTTATATCTCGGGGTGTCGGGCGCAGTGGCAGTGTCTCTGATCTTTGTGATTTAACTGCTCACACGATGCGCTACTCCTACCGCAAAATGGCGGCTATTTGGTTTCGCAAATTAGAAAAGCATTCAGTTTAAATACAAGTTTTTATAAATAAAAATTATTATTCTGCATTGTTAAATAAATACCCTCCGTACTACTAACAAAAACATCTCAAATAAAATGCAGTAATACACTGTAAATCCTGCACTTAAAAAGCACTAATGAAATTTTTGGTGTACTTGGATAAATATGATAATATTCCGTTTGAGTGGTTCTAACGTTTACCACGAAATTACTCCTTAAAGTATAGTTTATAAACATTTATATTCAGGGTAAACTTAAAAAACGCTACTTACGGTATGTTTTCAATAAATAAACACGGAAATCACCAGCCCAAACAATAACACACACAATTGTTGTGACGTATTTTTGAAGTTGTTTATTTTTTTTAAATGACAGACCCAGGCGTTAAAAACTTTATGGTTTGCTAGAGTAGTTACCGAAATAGCAATTAATATTAGTTCTTTTACCTATTATAACTTCGATATCCGATAAATCGGTATAAAATCATCACCGGCACCTCTAGGTGTGGTATGCGTCTACAGCTGCAAGTATCGCGTGAGCGGTTAAAGATCTGAGTGACACTGCAACTGTTACCAGGCACACGACTTGCTCATCCCGTCACTTAGTATTATAAAATAAAATTAATAAAAATTCATCTAATTTGAACACTAAATTGCTGACTAAACGAGATAAAAATTACGATATGCATTGTAATTTCCATGGTAAGTCAATGTTTCCATGGTAAGGCGACATAGATCGTTAGCGATTGACTGAATGAACACCATCACTGCCTTTCCACTGACACTATTGAGACTAAGTTTTATAGTAGCAGAAGAGCTTTTTGTGAAAGAGTTCGTCCAGGGATGTACTGCGCCCGTCACCCTGAGACGAAAGTTGACAAGTCCCATGTGCCTGTCACCAGCACCTTTACCCTTCAAAACCGGAACGCAGTAAAGCTCACATTACTGCAGGGCTGCAGAAATAGGTAAGGTAGCATACGGTAAAGGTGTTTATTTTTGTGGTAGTTTGAACAAGAATAGCTCAAATTCAAAACTGTTCAACATTTAATTTCATAAACAAGATACCAATAACAAAGACCACAAATAAATTAGAAAAGTTCATTTCCCAATGTGGACCTACTGGGAATCGAACTTGAGACATTGGGCCACCCAGGTCGTCGATTGTTTGAGACAAGTTTTTGACTATTAATCTGCTCAACATTATGTGTGTTACCAGTTTTTTATGAACCAATTCATAAAAAACTGGCAACACACTAAAAGGTTCCTTATATTATCTGTTATTAAAAATCCAGCCATTAATAATTAACTTATTACAGATATTACATTAACTTTACAGTATCATTTCAATTTTGATAACGAAAAAGTAACTTTGAACTTAAAATGGTTCGGATTTCAACTTTTCGAAGAAAGAAAAGAAAAGAATTTTCCGAAGAGAACATGGCGCATATATTTTAATATTTAAGTTTTTGATGCATTACGTTTCTTCTTTCGATTCGAACTTAGACTGAATGAAGACTATTAAATTTGTTGAGTGTAGAAAATAAAATCAGGAGTCCAGTAGTGGGAGAAAGTGGACTGTGGATGATGACAATGGAAAAGCACTTCAAATCAAAACTAATTAACGATCTCGATGGCCCATCGGTTTATATTGTGGATGCTAGACGACGAGAAGTTCTAGCCCTGCCAGTGCAGTCTCGTTCTTCGTCTGACATCCGTCCGAAGCAATTATTGTCAAATAAATAATACTCCACCAAATGTACAATTGTTTTTTAGTTTAGTCGATTACATTATATACATTGGGCGTCTCACGGCTATGCCACACGGAGGGAAAGTATCTTAAATACTATAAATATAAAATTTTACTGAAATAGGACTTCATTTTGATTTTAAAAACAATTCGAATTGCATTCAAATATTTTTGAATAATTTTCTGTCTGAACCGGGAATCGGAATGCTAAACGTGAAATAACAAGCACCTGTCATTTTACTAAACTTATCGAAAGCCTAAATCATAAGGATTATTTTCTTCTAAATAACATAGCATCTTAAGTAAAAGGAAGACCATGAATTTAACATTTAATTACAAATTTTGTTCAGGAAAATGAACCTGTTAAAGATTTAGTTTACATGAACCGGTATGAGAATGTGTAGGAGTTACATTACCTTAGACGTATGATTTTTAACATTTACCATGAAAAAATAAATAAATCAACAGGAAGTAACATAAATTACCAAAAGAGTGAGAATTTGTGTACTACAGAAAAGGACACATTTTGAGCATTTGATAACATAAATTGTAAGTTGCAGTACATAATTATTTAGATTAAATGTTAAATTTGGTCTTCTTTTTAATTCAGATATGATGCTATGTTATTTAAAAGAAAACAATCCTTACAGGTGTTTTTCTTTTCACATTTGAAGGGTACGATTCCCTGTTCAGACAGACGATTATTTAAAAATCTTTGAATGCAGTTCGAATTGTTTTTAAAATCAAAATGAAGTCTTCAAAGAAGACTTCCGAAATTTCTTCAAAGAAGACTTCTGAGATTTCTTCAAAAAAGACTTCATTAAGTTAAATTTTCTGTCTACGGTATTCAAAGCACTTTCCTTCCGTGTGGCATAGTCGTGTGATGCCCTATAAAGTATAATCGAGCAAGTTAAATATATGATCGATTATTTCTTATTTGACAGTAATTGTTTCGGAGGCATGTCGGACGTAAAAGACCTCCGAGTCTGGATGTTCTCGGATGTGCCCCAGAGTGAATTCCGTTACTTTGGTGCATTCTCTAGTTTGAGACCAGGCAATTGATTTGGTTGTCTGCCAAATTAGTATCAACTTTTATCACTCAGGTATCACCTCCTTTGACTTGGCGGCGACCGTTACCAGCCCAGGAGGAATCTCTGAGGACGCTGAGATCCAGGAGGTGGAAGACGGTCTCTACGCTGTCCACTTCGTGCCCAAGGAGCTGGGTGTCCACACCGTGTCCGTCAAGTACAGGGATATCCATATTCCTGGTGAGTATAGTCAGCGGCAAAATATCAGAAGCGTGAAAAGGTTCAATATAAAAAAACTGATCAAAACATCGTGGAATTACATCTATTTGCCAAGTTTTAATAAAATTTTACCGGAAAGTGCGCGAAACTGGACTTATCCCCTTTGTCACCCTTAAAGACGAAATATTATCTTGAAATTTAAATGGGACCAATATTGAGGCACCCTCTTTCCACCAAAAAAATAATTCTCAAAATCAGTTCACATACGCCGCCGGAGTTTTCGCGTAACATACATAAAAAAAAATTCAGTCGTATTGAGAAACTCCTCCTTTTTTCGAAGTCGTATTAAGTCGGTGAAGTCGGTTAAAAATATCGTATAAATTTTATTAAGTGTATCATGCTATTATTACTATAATAATAATAATATAATAATAAATTTCTTTATTTCGGACTAAGTCCATAAGGGTTAGTAACAAATCACTTAAAAATAGGGTTAGTATTATAAGTTGCTTATTTTACTATAGTATTATTATTTTTGTGAATCGATTAATCGACACAAAGATCGAACAAACCACAAAGAAAAATTCCTTTGATCCGGCTGGAGTCGAATCAGCGACTGTTTGCCAGACTGGGGCTAAGTGTTCTCCCAAAAACTGCTTCTTGACGATATTGTGTTTCAGATTTAAACGGCTTATGTCGTAGCGCCATATCGGCTATGAATTGGCAACCGGTACTATCTAAATTTTGACAAGTTTACAGTGTGAAGCAAAAATCATTTATATGGCATCTAGTTTATCAAATAAAATTACGTAGTGTACATACATACATGTGTAATAAAAATATTTAAAAACTACGTATGTTTATTTAATAAACCAGATGCTATATAAATGACTCAAACAAATTTTTTCTTCACGTGTAAAGTTCTCAAAATTGAGATAGTACCGATTGCCAGTTCACAGACGATATGTGAGAAACTTATGAAAGTTTCTTTCTTTATTCAGTCAGATACCTTTACAGCTACCAGACCCGGTCTGATAAACAAGCGCTTTGTTACAATCCAGCCGGATGATGATTTGATGAATGATTTTTTATTTCTGTTTGTTCTATCTTTATATTGAATAATAAAATATAATTACAATTTCTTTATTAAAAAAATCGACTTCAAAACTTGGCTATCGTCTTTCACTGTGTTCCAAGCTGCGCCCACCTCAACGACCTCGTTAACACTAATCATATGAGCCCAAACATAAAAATTTTCTCATCTATCTGCTATTTCCACCATCAGATCAGCTTTACGGATCAGAATTACATCTTTGTGCCTAGTTTTATTAAAATCGGTTAAGGGAAAGAAAAGTAAGAAAGAAAGAAAGAAAAGTAATTTATTCAACACAATACACGTGGAGTACAATATTAATAATTAGTATTAAAAGTGTATTATTGCACTGAAAAGGACTCAACTCGGCTAATACTGCGGCAGAGCCACAGCGCTGGTTTTCAGTGGACCCTTTTCGAAAATGCCGATTAAAAGAAATAAAAATATATGAATAAAATAAAAACGAACGTGGACGCGAGTTAAATAAAACTTAAACATGAAACAATATAATTAAATAGGAAACATAACATAACACAAATTTCAGCTAATGTCCCAACAAAGATTCACTCTGCATTTTCTTTTTAATTTTGTATTTTGGAGGCGCATTACACAAATAAAATTGTTCCAGACGTGTTTTGTAGATTTAGAATGTGCTCTTTGAGTTGACATTTGAACGCATAAACGGATTGTGAAGAACGCATTGGTGGCGGTATGTTGTTGTAAAGGGATGAGCTTCATAAACCGGATTCATTATCTAATTCGCCACCGTTAGACGTAGCATATTTTCTTCAAATTTAAACGGAATTGCTACTGAAGTATCCGCTTTTTAACAAAAAAGAAACGACGAAAGCAGATCACAAAATGTCGAAAGTAATCACGTAATATATTCCCGAAAAAAAAGACAGTCGAGCTGTGAATCTCTTCCTTTTTTGGAGTCGTTTCAAAAATAAACCTCATCGTAAAGATTTGATTGTAGGTAATAGAAATTTATCTGTGTACGTAATTTAAAACTACCATTTAACCATTTTACCTTTTTTAAACTTGATAAATACTGAATATAATTCCACGAACTTTTGAGGTCGGTTTTTTATTAAAAGTTATTAAATTTGTGGTAATGATCGATAACGATAGAATTAGGTTATATTATCAATAACTCTTATCTTCTAACGCTCTTTTTTTACCCAGGGTCTCCCTTCCAATTCACTGTTGGCCCTCTCCGAGATTCTGGGTCCCACTTAGTGAAGGCCGGAGGACCGGGTCTAGAAAGAGGTGAAGTAGGCCGCTTCAACGATTTCAACGTCTGGACAAGGGAGGCTGGTGCTGGTCAACTGGCCATCTCGCTGGAAGGCCCTAGCAAGGCTGAGATTGATTTTAAGGACAGGAAGGATGGGTCCTGCGACGTTTCATACAAGGTTGACGAGCCTGGTAAGTAGATATTTTACTTACTAAAAATTACAACTAATAATCAAAAACTTTCGAAAGAAGTTTTTACTATGTTCAACTTTGAACATCATGAATTTAACAATAAAACGCAAGATCTTAGCTAAATGTATTCTAAACTGTCACAAAAAATGGCCTCATCATAAGGCAACAAGTGCAACATAGTAGCATAATTAACTACTTAACAGAAATAGTTTCGTCGGCAACCAACACACACAGAACACTTCTATCATATCAAAGGTATATTAGTCATGAAAATTGTATAAATAGTAATAAGAATTGTAAATATACTCAGTTATCCACTACCATCTGATTGTAACTCGTCAAACTCATCATCCTGCTTAGTACTACCCGCTACTCCTCTCACTGTGGCCAAGGCCCCCTTAACCGTCAGTAGATCGGTCTTGCGAGACACATGGGACTTGTCAACTCGTACCCAAGGTGTATTAAGCAAGTTATTGTAATCTGCAGCTTTTCGTTTAAAGATTCTACGGAATTAGTCCATTTTTTTTGGGCATTGGGCAAGTCACCGGAGGAGAAGCGGGGAAAACTGTTTCGCTGTCAAATGGTTTAGGTATTTACTATTAATTAATGGCCCCTCCACACTCGCGCGCGATTCACGCGAGAAGGCGCGAACTACCCGCGAAGCATGAGTGTGGATCCCATCCGTATATTCTTCGCGGCTCTTTCCCGGTTGTCGGTATTTTGTCCCGCGCCAAAGGGTTCGTGAAGCGCCAACTTTGCATGAACGCTACAAGGCTCCACATTCGCGCATGGCTCAGGGGGTCTACTCTCGATCTCCGTCCGAAACAATTGCTGCCAAATAACCAATACTTGAACAAATGAAAAGACGCGTGATGCGAATGAAGCTTCATACTTGATACTTGTCTTTTAATTTTGTCGAATATTACTTATATGACAGTAATTGTTTCGGATTGCCCCAGTTGCCGATAAGTAAGTGCCGCGGACGGTTGTGGCTGTATTTTTATTGTTGACCATTTGAACGTGCTTAAAATGGCCGTGGATTAGAGAAATTAACTAGAAATGAAATTTTTTGATTGTTCTTGCATTTCTTAAACTGATAACTTTTTTTCTTTGTAAAAGCATAATTGTAAATTGCCAAAGCGCAAAATAGTGCCGCAGCAGCAACAGCTACTTCGGCGTCCATCTTCGTCAAGCGCGCGAACTATACGCGCGATTCAGGCACGAAATGCGCGTGAATCGCGCGCGAGTGTGGAGAGGCCTTAAGAGTTCTCATGCCAAAAAAGTTGTGACATTGGCTCCGCCCAAATTTGTGAAACAAATATATGCCTGAAGTTCGCGTGACATGCGACAGGAGATGTTGAATTTTGCGCATTAAAAGTACCAAATTCATTTTAGCGGAATAACTCTAAAACTAAAGGGATTAAAAAAAAATCCGTAGTGACAGTTGTCGATCATGCATGAATACAATTAATTGTCTGATTTTTGTTCTAATAACCTGTAGCATTTCGAGGATAAATCGAAAAAATTTGAAAATTAGAGGTCATTTCGTGATTTTTATCTATCGAGGAAACTTTATTGTTTTTTGATTCTGATTAATGTCTGTGCTTGAATATATCGTATAGTTACTCATGCAATATTTTATTTTTAACTTTAAAGTGGATATACCCCTCTAAAATTAAATCGAAGATTAGGAATTTTTCCTCTGCTCCCTCTTAAGGATATTGTCGAAGAATGTGCTAATCTGTTAAACGATAATATAAAATCCTGAACAGACGCTAAAATATAAACGAGTTATTTAAATTATTAAATAACAATAATATCTAACTTTGTACATATTATTTATATCGAGATAGTCTTTAAGTACTGTCAAATTTTGGTTTTCAACTGAAGCCCTATAGTTATTAAAATCACATTTTTCCCAAAATTTGCAAGTTCCCATCAGTCGCCATCGGGCGCTTGTCGACGTCGGATCTGTGTAAAAATGTAGTATTGTGCAAAAAAGTTTAAATAAATAAATAGACATGATGAAAGCAAGTCGGAGAAGATCCTGTTTACGTCTCTCTCGCTCTTCGAAGATCTTGGGATCTTTGAGGTTCTAAACCATCCTATTGGAAGGGGTCCAAAGTTTTTGGCTGGCCTATGTAATTATATACTAAGTGCTTTTGTTATATAATTGCTCACAATATAAACAGCTTTATCTACTTGCATTAAAACTTCCCCTCTTAAATTAAATATCTCTACAATAAATATGTTGTGTATAATACAATAAAGGTATTTTAGCGAATACCAAAATAATTCACGGTGTTTTATCGAGGATGGACCCGTGTCGTTGCTTTCTGATCACCAATTCAAATGACCCCCCGCCCCGTTCCATAGTGAACGACAATGACAAAAACTTGAGGGTCTGCCGTGTATTTTTGTGGTTTGGCGAACGTTGTCGAATAGCGACGAATGTTTGTTTAAGTTTGGGCCAAGATTCGCCTGTGAATGGCAATGATAAAAACTTGAGAGTTTGTTGTATATATATCTTGTGGCTGGGCATCCGCCGAATAACGAGGAATGTTTGCTCAGGTTTGGGCCATTATTCGCCAGTGAACGATTGTGTCAAAACTTACATCCCTATATGTGAAGTATGGTTAGGCAAACGTTGGCAAATAGAAACGCATGCTCTCGAATAACTTTAACTATTAAGTTTATATGTGTAAATTAAAGTAACGTTTGTGTTACACTTGGAATTTTTAATATAATAATATTATTATATACTCAGACAATACTTTTTTAGGACGAAGATACTAGTAGCAAAGCAACTTAATATCTATATAATAATAATGTGCAAAAAAACCACCAATCATCTAGCTTCAAACAATAGGGAATTTCTTGTACTATTAGTATCAGAACAACGAGCACTATCCAGATCATACAGACAAGAACCAATTCAGAAAAGTTGATTTCACAAATTAGTTATACCAGGAATCGAACCTGGGGACTCCTCTTCCAGCGCACATAGCGCAAACTATTAGACCAGCGAAGTCGTCAAAAAAGATGTTAGTGATAATTAAAGTAGTTATTTATGACTATTCAAATAATTAATAAACAGATAGCAAACAAATTGTTCTCGTTCCTGATATTATCTGTATTGTTAGACTCGGTTTTTTATAATATAAGCGATCTGTTCATTAATACAATATTCACAGGAGATATATAGAAAGCAAGTGTCATAAAATTATATAACTTTTGCAGAAGCAAAATTAGTAATGCTTCTCTTAATTTTAATTTTAACGAATGCGGACGAATCATACATGCCGTTGAGGCCGTACGTGGTGTATGGGTAGATCCTATAGTGAAAAGCATTTCATAAATAAACAGACTTGTTCCTTATTCGAATCTGACCACGCCTCCACCTTAACTGGCCAATGGCACGACGCTTGACCGTAAGTGCGGCAAAATTTACTGCGAACCATTTTGACAGTTCCATTTTTTAAATTTTGTTTTTATTTTTTTTCAAGTAACCAGTATTTTGTTTTTCTTTTTTTGAAACTCAGATGCAAGGCAAGTGATTGCGCCGATTTACGATATTTGTTTTTGCTAATGATCGGAATTCGCGAGTGAATCGCCATGTTTTCAAATAATCTTTTTTTTGTATTATGTAATCATGCGGTTATGTGGTAATGAGCAAATAATAAGGACTTTGATGGTAATTAAGGATTTAGTTGATTTTATGTGTTTGTTTGGTATTTTATTATTGTTATTGTAGTGAAGCTAAACATAACAACATAAAGTAACACCACAAAAAAAGAGTATTTTTGGACAAACATTTGTCCCTCAGTGTACTGACAATGTTGATTCTCATTACGATTAAATTTTTTTATAATATTAGTACGTACAACGTTGCTGGTTAAACTACCAGTTATTCAAAGCCAGAGCCTGTTTTTCTTTAGTTAAAAGAAAAACCATTATTGGCAATTCTGATTTTATTTTTAAAATTTAATTTAAATAAAAATTTAAATTAAAAATAAGAAAGGTGGTAGCGCAGCGAGAAAATGGTTGTTTCTCAATCATGAGGTCGCTGCATCGAATCCCTGTGGCGGTAGATACCTATGACTTTAATATCTAAATTATGTATATTTCGTTCGTACCGTCAAATTAAAAAATAATACGAATCACACGAAACAAAAAAGTAGTCAAAAACCAAAACACAAAGATCTGCAATAAGCACACAGAAAAATTCGTAAGGTCCGCTGGTTCGTTCCGCAGCTTAGTTGCTTAGGTGGCATAGTGTCTGGCACGCTTTGCTGGAAGACGTTGGTTCGAATCCAGCCAGATCGAGGGGATTTTTTCTAAGTGTCCGTTCTTTGTTTTAGTAATTACACGAAACAAATTATGTACTATTTAAGCGTAAAATGTAATCGACTACTTTCGTTAGTAAAATATTTAAACCTTTCTCCAGAAAAGTTGTCATTTTACAGATGTGACATTGTTTCACCAATGGTACAATTCGTGAATGTTTTATAGCAATAACTCTTGCTAACTCGGAAAGGTTTACAGTCATTGGAATACGTGTCACCAACCCGCCTTGGGCCAGTGTAGAGGACAGTCCAAATTCTCTTCATTATAAGATAAGTTAGTAAGCAGTAGAGCTCTTTCAGAGTTCCTCCAGGGAAGTACTGCTACCTTACCTATTTCTGCCAAGCAGTAATGTGAGCATTACTGCGTTCCGGTTTTGCAGGAAACTGGTGAAATTACAGGCACACGAGACTTGTTGCAGTGCCTCTCAGGTCTTTACGATTTAAAGTTTTGAGTGGCGCTGCAACTGTTATGGACAGGCGTGTCGCTTACCACCAGGCGCACGACTTGTACGTCCTATCAGTTGGTATTATAAAAAAAGTAGTGGGACGAATATTGGTGTGATGGCGATTAAAAGAGAATCCATACCCAGTGTTTTAAACTCATAATGAAACTGGTCAAAATTAACAAAAAGTTGCATTGTCTCAAATTCAAAA